CTTGCATTTTTATCTTATGGAGGTGGCTTCTCTCCTTAAACCTCATGAAACAATCTCTGTTAGCTTCAAACTTTTCTTCTGCAGCTACCTTACCTCTTTCAGTCTTCCTAGAATTGAAGAGAGCTAGGGCCTTGCTCTGGATTAGGCTTTGGTTCAAAGGAATGCTGTAGCTGGTTTGATCTTTTATTCAGACACTAAAACTTTCTCCATATCAGCAGTAAAGCTGTTTCACTTTCTTATCATTCGTGTGTTCACTAGAGTACCACTTTTCACTTCCTTCAAGAACTTTGTCTTTGCATTCACAACTTGGCTAACTGGTACAAGGGGCCTAGATTTGGGCCTACTTTGGCTTTCCACATGCCTTCCTCACTAAGCTAGCCATTCCTTGTTTTTGATTTCAAGTGAGAGATGTGCAATTCTTCCTTTCCCCTGGCACTTAGAGGCCACTGTAGGATTACTAATTGCCTTAATGTCAATATTGTTGTGTCTCAGGGAGTAGGGAGGACTGAGGAGAGGGAGGACGAGAGAGAAAGATGGGGAATGGCCAGTCAGTGGAACAGTCAGAACACACACATTTACTGAGTTTGCCCTCTTATATGGGTTTGGTTCACGGTGCCCCCAAACAATTCCAATAGTAACATCAAAGACCACTGATCACACATCAGAATGACAAATAGAATAATATGAAAAGTTTGAAATAGTGTGAGAATTACTGAACCATGACACGGAGACATGAAGTGAGCAAATGCTGTTAGAAAAACGGCATAGGCAGACTTGCTCGACTCAGTGTTGCCACAAACCTTCAATTTGTAAAAAACAGCTATCTGTGAAGTGCAATAAGGCAAAGCATAATAAAACAAGGTATGTCTGTAGTCGCAGCAAATATGGCAATGTTTGTCTAATCATGGTGCATACATACAAGGTATATGTGGGAGGACATGGAAGAGTAGGATTTGAATGTCTTGATTCTTGCTACAAAGTACCAGGCAGTAAACTTAGGTGATTCCATTATTTGAAGAGAACATTTGGTCTGAAAAATAGATACCTGGGGAAGGTCTTGACCTGTTGACTTGGGTTTCGTTATTATAAATATAGTGGGCTATACTTTCTCTATGATAGGTTAAGTTCTGAGCCTACAGAAGCTGCCTGGCATTTTTTTCCAGATGAAACTGACTGATTATTTCTCCTATTATTTTCCTTGAACAAAATCACCTCCTCAATATCTGTGGTCAATACTGAACACACACACACACACACACACACACAAATGGAAGCCTCATTTAACAGAGACAAAAATTCACCCCAAAACCTATCCAAGTTTTTTTCCAAATGAAGAGTCATTTCTGCCTCCAATTTTTGGTGTTCCCTGAATTCTTACTTATTATATTGCTATTGAAAGCTATACCTTTAAACCTGACTTGGGTTTCTCAAAATCCTTTCCCTTTAACTCCCCACCTTTCCAAAGCACCCACAGACACACTGCTAATTTGGTTCTGTCTACAAAACCATGAGCTTGTGAGTCATGAAGCAAGGGGTATTGTGTCAGCCAAGGAAGTTTGGACATTCCTCTTCTTACTGCCATGGCGCCCACCCTATCACTGGAAGTGGCTTCTAGTCTATCTAGAAAGCACCAGGATAGGGGGAGAACAGATTTTATATTAGTCTGTAGAGGGTACAGCATATTCAAATATGTGCTAGCCATCAAAACTGCAGGCTAATGATGTGCAACATCATTAGTCTTCAGGGAAATTCAAATCAAAACCACATTGAGATACCACCACCTATACCAGTTAGAATGGAAACAATTGACAAGACAAGAAACAACAAATGTTGGCGAGGTTGTGGAGAAGGGGAACCCGCTTACACTGTTGATGGGAATGCAAGCTGGTGCAGCCACTTTGGAAAACAGTGTGGAGGTTCCTCAAAATTTTAAAAATAGAGTTACCCTATGACCCAGCAATTGCACTACTGGGTATTTACCCCAAAAACACAGATGTAATGAAAAGAAGGGCCACATGCACCCCAATGTTCATAGCAGGAATGTCCACAATAGCCAAACTGGAAGGAGCCAAGATGTCCTTCAACAGATGAATGGATATAGAAGATGTGGTCCATATATACAATGGAATATTACTCAACCATCAGAAAGGATGAATACCCATCATTTGCATCAACATGGATGGAACTGGAGGAGATTATGCTAAGTGAAATAAGTCAAACAGAGAAAGACAATTATCATATGGTTTCACTTATTTGTGGAACATAAGGAATAGCATGGAGGACATTAGGAGAAGGAAGGGAAAAATGAAGGGGGGAAATCAGAGGGGGAGACAAACCATGAGAGACTATGGACTCTGGGAAACAAACTGAGGGTTTTAGAGGGGAGGGGGGTGGGGGGATGAGTGAGCCCGGTGGTGGGTATTAAGGAGGGCACGTATTGCATGGAGCATTGGGTGTTATACGCAAACAATGAATCATGGAACACTACATCAAAAACTAATGATGTACTGTATGGTGACTAATATAACATAATTAAACAAATTATTAAAATTAAAAAAACAAAAAACCATCAAAACTGCAGTCATCCCATATCTACCTGGATCACTGCTGCCTGGGGACCCAGAAAACAGATCCATCTTTCCTTTCCCACTGTAACCACTAATGCCTTTTCACCTTAGTAACTAAATTAGTAACTTCACATTAAAGTTAGCAAAGCTAATCAATGGTTGTGTGAAGAAAATGTTAGCAATTCTTTTTGCTTGTCTTATTTTTCCTTTAAATTCTATGTCTGAGTTGCATATTTATAAAAGTCATAGAAAATAAACACCCAAATAAATATAAATTGTGAGGGCATAACCCCAATGTTTTTATGGCTTCAGAATAGTTGGAAGTCTCAATTCCTGAATCACTTTCTCACAACATGCATTTGGGGAATGTGCTCAACAGACAGATTCTCCCTCACCTTATTAAAACCTCCCTAACAATAATGCTACAGGTAGGGTGGGGGCGGGTTTTTGAGAGGTTTTTTGGTCTGTTTTTTCACCTGACCTACTTTGAATACAGTACCAACTCTTCCACCATTCCTCCTTCAATTTATCTTTGTTCAAGGACCTGAGCAGAACAGAGAAAGATCCTGTGACAGAATAAATAGTGTTCCTTCTCTTTCTCCTACTTTCATTGAGAGAAATTGGATGGTTTGAGGTATATTTCTGATCTGTGATATTAATGGGAAAGACAAATCCTGTATTAAACATCTTGACACAACCTGTCAAGACCCTGTCCTTGGGCATGTGAGGTAAGCCTCAAATGTTACCTAACAAGGGAAATCCTTATATCCTGAATTCAATTACTTGCCATTTCTAACCCAAAGGAGTTGGATTTCAAACTTAATGTTTGTATTACTTGACACAGTTTTTTGCCCTTCCCTACTTCTGTTTAAAGACTATGGGATGTCGGGGCGCCTGGGTGGCTCAGTTGGTTAAACGACTGCCTTCAGCTCAGGTCATGATCCTGGAGTCCCAGGATGGAGTCCCGCATCGGGCTTCCTGCTCAGCAGGGAGTCTGCTTCTCCCTCTGACCCTCCCCCCTCTCATGTGCTCTCTCTCTCTCTCTCTTATTCTCTCTCTCTCAAATAAATAAATAAAATCTTTAAAAAAAAAAAAGACTATGGGATGTCAGGAAGCAGAATCATGAGATCAGCTTTATTCTTTAATTCAATTCAGTGTGCACAGTATCTTACATTTAATAGCCATTCAATGAATATTCATGGATTTGACAGGATTTACTTAAGATAGTGCTTTAAACTAAGGCTTTGGTTCTCCAGCATTAGTGTGAGTCAGAATCACCTGGAGAACTTGTCAAATCACAGATTACCTAACCCCAGTCCCAGAGTTTCTGATTCAGTAGGTCTGGGGAGGGACCCTAGAGCCTACATTTCTATCAAATTCCCAGGTGATCGGGATGGCTATAAGTTGGGGATCACACTTTAAGAACCATGGATCAGAGAAGTGTGTTACATATCTAGGAATAGAGAAACAAGATTAATTTTTCAATATTTAGTTTCCTTATGATAATATAGCCATATTATATTTTTAATTACTAATAAACTATTAAAATTAACAGAATAATGAATAGATTTGGGATTATTTAAATTATGTATGCTGTTGCTATATGACAAAAATATAGATAATTGAAGATTTGGCTCTATAGTCACAATAATATAATTATTATTTGTACAATGTATATTTGAATTATTTTCAGAGATAATCTTATTTCCTTTGGACAGCCTTCAAGCTTCGGGTAATCATCCACATTTTACAAGTGAAGAAAAAGTTCAGAAAGATTGTTTTAAGTGTTCAGAGAGGTTGAGTGCGTTTGTCCTCAAGCCAAACAGCTCTTAAATCGTGAAGTTCACATTAGCACCCAGACTGTTTTAATTCTACTCCCTGTCTCCCATTGCACATCTCCATCTATTGTCTGATGTTACAGTTTTGTGGTGTCCCCAACCCCCCAGTAAGCAGGCCGTAATCAAGGGATTAGGGCTTGAACTGGAATTAGGACACCTGGGTTCCAGACTCCTTTTTCTACTAATTAACTACCACCCCACTTGCGAGGCCGCCGTCAACAGCCAGACCACCCTGGCGCTCTATGTCTCCTACCTGTACACCCACAAGGACGCGGCTTTGAAGCGCTCCGCCTGGACTTCCCACATCAGCTCCGGTTGGAGAGGAAGGTGAGGGAGCTCACCGCCAAGCCCAGGTGGCTGAGAAGCAGCGCCGGCCCCTTCGCCTCCCAGCATCAAGATGCGGGGCTGTGGGCGCTGCAGACACCGCAAAAGCCGAGGCATGCGCCTTTCACCTGGAGAAGCGAGGGACCCGCCTCCCTGATCTGCACCAGCTGGCCACTGATGGGACCGACGCCCACCTGTGCGAGTTCCTAGAGAGTCCCTCCCTCCACAAGCAGGTCAAGTCCTTCAAAGAATGCGTGGCTATCTTACCAACCTGCGTTGGATGGGGGCCCTGAAGGCCAGCGAGGCAGAGTACCTCCGACAAGCCCCGCGCGGTCCTTGGCAGTAAGAACTCAGCTTGTCTGCCTTCCACATGGCCACTGGGTGACTTGCCCCGATCACCATGCTGGGTAGGCATGTTGCAGTATTGCCCTTGCAAAACATTCGCTTAAGATTTTCTTTCTTCCAACCAATTTCACCATTCCTTTCAATAAAGGAATATGGTTCCTAAATTAAAAACAAAAACAGAAACAACAAAAAACGGTAGCAAGAGTATTAATCTTTCTGTGCCTCAGATTCATTCGTGAAAACGATACAATCTGCTTTATCTTCTCCGTAAGATTGTGTGAAAATCAAATTTCATAATGTATTTGCAATTTAATCTAATTATTCATACCTACCTCAGTGCATAAAGAATCTGGAGACAGTTTGGTATATAAAAATAATTTTAAAATCTATAAACTATATTAGAGATTTAAAGTCTAATTTAGGCAGCATGATTATAACTTGTATTATTTTACTTTAGCAGTCTCTGAATTGAATACAAAGATCGATTAGATTAATTGTTAATACTTAAGATACTTAGAGCAAGTTATAAAATAAGGAATATGGAATGACCTAGCTAGGGATATAATCCACTGTGGAACCGGTAAGAATGGGGAAAAAAGCTACAAGGGATTCCATATTCTGAAACAAGTACACAACTCTGGTATGAGGGAAGGAATATTTAGTAGTGCAGCTGTTTCCCCAAAGGGAGGGGGGACTTTGATTCAACCTTTCTCCTACCGACTTCCCTTCTTTCTTCCCTTCAATTGCTTTCCAAAAAGTTTTGAAATATCTGTCTTCTGAATTTCATGTTTGTTCAACATTCTCATGTAATTTCTTTTGCATCTTACTAACATGATATTCTAAATGGAATATAAATTTAAAGCCATTCTCTCAGTGACCCTAATAACCCTTACTTGCTAGGGAATACATGAACATATTATTTCTAGAAACCCAGCCTTCATCTAGTTATGTTCACTTTCATTTAACTCAATTGAACCACAGAATATGGAAACCAAAAGCTACCTTAAGACAACATTGAGTCCCCATTCCCTCATTTCACAGATGAGGCAGAAAGGAGCCTAGACTAGGTTAAATTCACATAGCTACTTTGTGACAAAGCTTGTACTAGAATTAAGTGTTCCACCACTCCTGTGACAGCTTTCTCTTTGCCATACCATGCCACTCCCTCTGGAGCTTACCTAGGAGACTAACACGTTAGAGCTAAATCAAAGGTCCTCACTTGTGAAGCAGAAAGTCCAGAAAAAAAGTGCAGAAGGTACAGAAAAAATTCAGATGGGACCAGACAATGTGCACTGGAGTTGAACCTGATTTACTTAACACTGGCCTGAGGTATGTGGCTTTACCCCAGTGAGCCCCAATTTAATCTTTTATGAAATGGGGACCAAAAATACCTACATTAGAGGACCGATGGTGTGGCAGAACATGGCCAACTCTGCCCAGAATATAGTAGGTAAGTAATAAATATATCCTCCCTCTGTTCCTTATTTATCACACTGTTCCACCTTCTTCAAGTAATATCTTCCACTGATCGATATGTCTTTCCCTTGCATCTGTAGAAGTAAATTCTTGGATCTTCCTTCTTGCCTCTGGCTTTTCCTTTTTCACCCCCTATAATAGTTTTCCCTTCCCTTTCAGACCTACTCTTTTTACCATGAGTGAGCCTAAGATCCCCTTCCCTTTCTCCTCTACACCTTCCTTTACAAACTCCTTTCAGGGCATTCACAATGAGTGGGGATTGCTTACAGTGAAAAGCTGATGCCAGCCATAACCATCTCCCTACTATATTACCCTTCCAACAGTGCTCCTAATACTCTTTTAATAACCAGCAGCCACTATCCAGGCATTTGGAAAACTGGTAATGACACAGTCCCACTCTGGCTTATAATAAATGCCTCAACATTGTGAATATTAAATTTCAGAGTTTTTATTCAATTCTTGTTTCATCCATTGTATGCTCAGTTTTAGGAAGCCTTCATGACATACCTGTTGCCTCAGCAAAATCTGTGACACTTGTCTGAATTCCACTTTGACCTTCCACCCGTGTTGAAATAATTTGAAAGAACAAAAATAAAGAATATTCTTAAGAGAGCCAGAGAATCATTCACTTGAAAATTTCTCCATTATTTTGCAATTCGAAGAAGTCGCCAACATCATTGCAAGATTTGGCTTGTGTACACCTGGAAAATATGAGACTCGAATATTTCATGTTGACACTCTGGCTTCTCTTCCCCTGGGGTTGGGGAGAGAGGCTGAACTGCATGTGTTAATCCTGTCACTGGGCTGTAACTCAGCATATGCCACAGGGGTTTCCTGGTGGTCTCTTTGTCTTTCATATATTTACCCCCACCTCTCCATGCAAAATGAGCTTATTAGCTGTTCATATATTGGAACAAAGGACTGTTCAGGGTTAGCTTTAGCCCCAGGTAAAGAAGTCAGATGTTTATAGGGTTTGATTTTTTTTAAGTCCAAAAGCCTCCTACAGAAAATACTTTTTTTTTTTCTAATAGCTCCATTGAAATCCCCATATTAGTCACTTCTGTGGAATGAAGCAGTGAGAAAAAAAATTATCTGATAAAATATACAAGCTATCTTAAAGCCATGGCACATAAAGCCTCTTTTACTTACTGATCACACTAGATAATTAGTCACTTAGGAGGACTAAACAGAAGAAAATTGTGATAAGAAAGAGGAGGAAAAACAAGGCTTGGAGCATGTCCAAACTTGGAATGGCAACACTATCTAAACAGTTGAAGGAGAAGATAGAAAGGCGATAGCCCCAGAGGCACCCCTCATGATTTTAAAGTGATTGCTTAGGACCAACCCTGATGCTATATATTCATATTTCCGACCATCCATCCATCCATCCATCCATCCATCCATCCATCCATTTAACACGTTTATGTAGTAACTAAATGAAGCGCTGTGATGCTGCATTAAGAACACAGAGTTGAAGAGTCTCAAGTCTTTACTCTTAAAGAACCTACAAAGGAATAAAAGCATCTAAGTAAAATTTATAGATCAGAGTCTTAGATGCCGTCATAGCTATCAACAGATGGTGCTATGATAAGAACTGACATTTGGGGATGCCTGGGTGGCTCAGTTGGTTAAGCGTCTGCCTTCAGCTCGGGTCATGATCCCAGAGTCCTGGGATTGAGCCCCGCATCGGGGTCCTTGCTTAGTGGGGAACCTGCTTCTTCCTCTCCCTCTGCCTGCTGCTCCCCCTGCTTGTGCTTTCTCTCTCTCTCTCTGACAAATAAATAAACTCTTTAAAAAAAAGAACTGACATTTGTTACCTTGTGACAGACACTGTTCTTTAGATGAATTACTCATTACTCCTTCCAATAATGTTTTCAGGTAGATTATATTATCAAGTCCATTTTACAGATGAGAAAATGCTGATAGACCTTAAGTAACTTGCCCAAATCCTACGGATATGATGAGACAAGATTAGGATTTGAGCCCTGATATCAAACTCCAAGTCATTTTCTTAACTCTCTGCTGCGTAGCTCCCAGGAGTCCACAGGAGTCTGAGCAAAACCAAATAAAATCTTGCAGAACTAAATATGAGAAATATTACACAGATTCTAATGGTCTTTGCCACTTGAATTTTTAGCTAGTCAGCAAGGAAATACAGTTCTTCAACTGAAATTGGGAAGAATATATGGTTATTATAGTCATTGCTTCATTCCCTAGAGCCTCAGTATAAACATGACTGGTTGCAAGCTTAAACATCAAGGTTATTCACTGGCAAACTGTATCTTCAAGGATTAAAAAGAGTAAGAAGAACACCTTTGAGTTGTCATGATTTGGCCATTTTCACTGTGAATAGAGATAGGCATTTGAGCATTTCTTAGGCTCACAAAAGAGATAGATGATTAAAAAAAAAAAAAAAAGGATAGGGAGGCCAGTGAAGATTTGTGAGCAAGACAAATTTTGTCAGGGTATAGGGAGGAGACCTAGAAGACTGAGGCATCTAATTTGATACACTTATAAGCCACAAACATGTCTGAATGACCAAGAGCCAGCCACCACCACAAAATAACCAGGATAGGTCCGGAGTCAGCAGGGAAGAGCTGGGAAGAAGGCCAGGCCAATAATGAAAGGGGGCATTAAGGTACACATTAAACTCTCCAAAGGGGAAAAAAAAAATAAGCAAAATTTCCAAGACATCCCTAACAAAAAGTTGAAGTATTAACATTTTTGCTAAAGTAGCAAAAATGACAAATTTGCTGGTTTCACTAAGTACATTATATTGCTTTTTTTTTTTTTTTCCTTGAAGTGGGGAGGTGGTAAAGCTTCACCGAGCAATAGTGAGGATGTAAGAGACTTTTCAAAAGTGGTACATCAACCAATTACTGGGAGTTTGAAGGGAGTTTATTTTCGGGCATTGAGAAATCAGCATATTTGGAGCTGACATCCAATGGCTTAGTCCCATTCCTTGAGCGATTGGGGATTCCAGACGGGAGAGAAGCTGTCCTATTTCAAGGAGTAAAGCTGCCACTGGAACTCAGGGCACTTGATTGAAATTGCAGACATCTGATTTTGTCAGAGTTCGGATCCCTTCCCTTTGAAATGCCCTGCCTTAAGAACCGCTTTAACGCATTGCCAATCTTGCCGGCAACCATGCCTTCCTATGATTGGGAAAATTAATGAACAGTCCCTGGCTACTATAATTAAACCCAAACACTCCTGATTTCAGTATTAAGAAAAAGCCATTGCCCTGATTTTCTCTTGACAACACAAAAATCTTGCCATCCCCAAACTGTTTAATTATTGAAATGAACTGTAACAGCACACCGGATAGGGGCAGAGGTCGCCGAACAGTTCTGGAAGTCAGAATTCGGGCAGGGGCTGACTCAGAGCCTGCCAATGCCTCAGGCTGCAGCCTCAAACCCACACACTTTTTCTCAGGCAGCCAGCCTCTGATAGGTAGGGTGATAGCGGGACTAACTTGCTAGCATTCCAAAGGTCCAACGGTGCTTGCTTGTTTTAAGACAAGCCAAAATATGCTCTGGTGACCACCACGACATTACAATTCCCATGCCCTAACCACATTCCTCTTCTCAGATCCCAGGCATTTTTTTTTGTCTCCCTACGTGCAGTCCAGGATGTAGACAAAATGAATTCCAAGTGACCTATGTGGGGGTGGATTTTTTTTA